AAAAGGAGAAATCTTAGGCCTTAGTTTTAGGGTGAAAGCATTTTGGTCTTATTTCTAAGATGGCTCATTTTGGTCTCACATAACCATATATATGATCTATGAGTCCCACCTCTGCACACACATCCAAAGGAATTTAAATAAAGATCTCAAAGAGTTAACTTCACTCACACACTAATCACAGCCTTATCCACAACAACCAAGACATGAAATCAACCTTGAAATGTCCACTGATAGATGAATGGGTAGCATAAATTTGGTATATCCATACAGTGGACTCTTACTATTCTTGAAAAAGAAGGAAATGCTGTTTTTTTTACAACACAAATGGAATAATAATGTGCTTTTTTAAAAAAAAGACAAGAAACTTGGAGTTTTTTCCTACAGAGAATCAAGCAGTTGACGAATTTATAAATATATAAATGAAGGAGAGAAAGGATGAAACTGACTTCTTTTAAAATCATTCTGCTTACAGTTGGGAAGATAATTTAAAGAAAATGAGACAAGAGCCACACAGAAGTCAATTAGAACCTGAACTATATAAAAATATAAAACGGGACATTATGATAAATAAATCGATCCAGATATAAGGACAAAAGTGACATGATTTCACTCGTACAACCTATCTGAAATAGTCCACTGTATGAAAACAGAGGGTAGAATGGTGTCTGTCAGTGGGTGATTCTGGGGTAGGAGCTGAAAGGGAGGCAGTAATTAAAGGGCACTAAATTTTGTTTACCCGAAGAAATGAGTCCGAAAGGACGTCCTGTGCACCAGAGTGCCTGTAGGTTAGTGTTTCGTTATAGACTTAAAATCTGCTAAGAGGGCAGATCATGCATTAAGTTTTTTCTTAACTCACACAAAGTAATAGATAGTATAGGAAGACTCCTTTGGAGAACATGGATATGCCTTTGACATAGATTATAGTGATGGTCTCTTGGTATATACTGACTTCTAAGCCTGTCAGGATACAATCACAGTCATTAAATAGGTCCAGATTTCTTGTAGATCAATAACATCTCAACAAAGTAGTTTTAAAAAATTAGAAGTAAAAAACATTTCAAACAGCAAAACATTTGGAAAAACAGCGTGTTCTAATGCAGAGAACATCACATATCTCAGCAGCTATAGAGCACACACTGTTAGGATTATGATCTTGGGAAACAAGACGAAAAACTGATACAAAGTGAAATGATGATGTGATTTTTTTTATACAAGGACAAGAAACTTGGGTTTCTATCCTGTAGGACTCAGGCAGTTAAGGAATATATAAAGAAAAGATGGCATGAAACTGGCTTTCTTTGAAGATAATTCTGCCTGCAGTTGAAAAGATGTTTAAAAAAAATAAGATGAGAGCACATAGAAGTCAATGAGAGCCTGGACTACGTGGAAAAAGACCTCAGTGTGGACAAGAGTCTGAAACACAGATGAAGTAGAACTGATAATGCCATAACTGAAAAGTAAAAGTTGACCTGCAGCTCAGAATTAGACCCCACTCCTGGTACCAATTTCAGTTGGAATCATGACCAGTTTTTACATGCTTCCATTTTTACCTATGCAACTATTCATAGGGCCTCTGGGAAGCTCTATAGCGTATATGCCTTTGTTCCTACCTTCCATTCTCTTGTGACACCATGTTGGACCTCATTGTTTTTCTTTAAAAACAGTTGGATTTTCACTTACTCATTTATAGTAGTGTGGAATTCCTCATGATACTTTAGAAGTGCGCATCTAAATGGAAACTGCTTGGCCACAGGGAGTTCAAATCCTAGTACAGCAGTTTATTAGGTACATAACTTTTAGCCAACCATTTCTCTGATATACAACATGGAGATTAACAGTAGTCACTGCTCAGTTATTTTGAGAATTAGAGGAACATCTTTCATGCAATTAAAGGTCATTTAATATTCTTTAAGTCTCCTCAACTTAAATAATTCCATTTAAGTATTATGAATTAATGTATGAAGTATTAGTTTCTTTATGACATTTCCAAATATGTTACACACACACACACACACACACACACACACACACACACACACACACACGGTATAAAAACGGAGCAAGTGAAGAGTGTGTGATTTCAAGACCTAATCAATAGGCTTTGCTGTTCTAGAGCAGAAACTGTTCTGAGCATGTGATGGCTTCCTTGTTCTGTGTGCCATTTCCCCTTCCTTGCAGCTCCTAGTGAGAATAAATGCAAATGTTGATATTGTAGATAATAGACAATGTCATGTATGTTTTCTTCATATCTTGGGTAGTAGATTCTAGATTGAAAAGCATAGTTCTTAATCAGTTGCAAGAAGGTGAAATAAGGTTGCAGCTAGAGAGGTAATGTTGGGAACAGAAACACTCTAGCACAGGTGGTCATATCTCTTAGACAAATGTAAACCCAGAATTGAGTTAACCTGA